ATAATTAATAATAAAAAATATCTATTTAATTGAAATTATGCCCTTACAATTCAATACAGATCATAAATTAAAAAAAAATATCTTGTGGCCAACAAAGTTCTAAAGTGTTACGTTCCGCATTAGAATCATCGGTGAGAAAAACCATCGGTCCTGCCCGTGGTCCATGCCCAAAAAAGGCATACAGAGGAAGGATTGTTTTTAATAAGTCTATTGCTTTTTCTAATATACTCTCAGACTCATCTAAGGTAATAAACAATCCCAAAGGGAGAGCACCAGTTGCACAACTGGTATAAAAAAGAGTTATGGAAGTGTTGAGAGGATCAAATGAAGCTGATGCATCTATGTAACATATTTCACCCGACTGAAGAACTTTTTCATGCACACAAGCCATTAGGTTTGTTACTAAACATAAAATAAATGCACTTCCCGAATTGGCATTATATTTTTGCAGAGCAGCTTTACCTCACCCTAATAATTAAATTTTATAATTAGTTACTGTATATGTATATTTACAGTATAAATAAATTTTTTTTTTTAAAAAAAAAGGTTATAACCTGAACTATTATAATCTTCTACTATCAATTCTAATCGTTCTAACATTGGCTTTCCATTACGGCTTCCAAGTATAGTATCACAGTATTGTTGAAAAATATAATAAATTGAAGCGTAATCTGGGTTATTTGCCCGATCTGCAAGTAATTCCACCAACTCTTGATTATTCGAAGCACTAAAATGAAGATCATCTTCAAGAGTATAATGTGCCGAGGAAGGTGAGTGACCATTTTTGAATAATTCTAATAATTTATTATGAACATCATCCTTGATTGGTCTAAAACTTAGTGATTCTGCTGCATTGATTACATGGTTGTGTGTAAATTTTATATTTACTTCTAATAGATGATTTAACACAAGTCACCGACACTCCAACCATAAATGAATGGTTGCTGTGCAATATATATTTCGAGCCCGAGAAGACTGTGAACACTTTACATCACGCTTTCCTTGCTTTTTCTTTACCTCATTGCTGTGTATGCAATGACGCTACTCATGAAAAATTACCCAACTTCCTTTGATATCAAAACCTCTTGTTTGTGGCATAGTTGTCTTTGACCAAGATTGAAATTCTATGAACCACTCGTGTGCACCCTTCTCACTTTCAACATTAACAAAAGTGTCCAGCTCAAAATTTGCAACTTCAAAATTTTCCTGTGTCTTGTGCAGTGGTAAATTGTTGAAATTTTGTATTTGATATGTGTAATTTTGAGTGAGAACCGATTTCAAAATGTCAGGTAAGAGGTCCCACGAAAAGATCTAAGAAATTAAGGTAAAAAAAAGAAAAAAATCGTTATTGCACCTATCTACTGATAATTCGAAAATATGAAAGTGTGACGACATTGACAATTGATAAGTGAAATTACTGAAATATGACGATATTGGCAATTGATAAGTGAAATTACTGAAATATGACGATATTGACAATTGATAAGTGAAATTACTGAAATATGACGATATTGAAACATATAAGTATGACGATAAATGAAATATAAGGTACGATAAATGAAAGTATGAAAGCATAATTTATATTGATAAGCGAATTAACAATAATTGAAAATATGAAAGTTTAATTTATTAATGAAATCATTGAAAAATC